GATTATGTTTTTTTTGTTTGTTTGTGTGTGTGTGTGTGTGTGTATGTATGATAATTATTGTGAAATAAACCAATAAATGTTCCAAAAGTAATGATGTGATTGATGTAGAACATCTATTCGATAGATAGGATCTTTGTTTTTTTCTTCACAAAAAAAGGTGCTTATTGTTTCAGTTTTTTTTTTTTCATTTTGAATTCAACTGTCCATCTATCTATATGTGTGTGTGTGTGTGCGTGCAGATTTACGACAGACAGATGATAATTTGACAAAAAAAAGGCGTACATGGTCTATTCCATGGAAAATCAACGAAGAATATATGTTCCAAGTTCAATCAATCGGTATTTCGTTGTGAAAAAAATTTTCAATTTTTTTTTTAATTGATTGATTGATTGATTTTTTAGCATCATTTATGATTATTGTTATTATATATTTGATATCAGAAAAAATCGAATCAAAATCATTAAAAAGAGAAACAGAGAAAAAAATTCAATTTTTTTCCAGGTCAAATTCAATGATAATGAAAAATAATGCAAACAACAACAAAAAAAGTGTAGGCTTTTGTTGTTGAAATCAATCAATTTTCAATTCGATCATCATTTGTGATTGTTGTATGTGTGTGTGTTTAATGGGATTTTTTTTTCGTTGAAAATTTGCGTTTTTAATGCTTTCAAATCAAAATAGGTTGGTTGCTGTTGTTGGTAGGTTTTCACCATATATATAATATATAGTTAGAGGATCATCATCATCATTTAATAATTAATAATGCGAATGATGATGATCATAAAAATTCAGTAGGAGAAAAAAAAATCTTTATGATCATCTTCAATTGGTCAAAGTTTTTTTTTGCACTATTCATTATCAATGATAGAATCGGCTACTTACATCATGATATTCGGCCATTTCCTGTTGTTGTTGTTGCTGCTGCTGTTGATGATGATGATGATTATGATGATGATGATGGTTATGATGATGATGATGGTGATGATGATGATATCCATTTGTGACAACATTTGGATCTTGATGATTATATGCTGCTGTATGATCTAATTGTTTAGTTGGTGTTGATGATTGATAATTAGATGTATTATCATAATTTGAATTTGATGCCGTTGTTGTTGATGATGATGATGATGATGATGATTCATAAATGAATTCATTTTCACATTCAGATATTGATGATTGTGGTGTAGTTGATGATGATGGTGGTGGTGGTGGTGGTTGTTGTTGTTGTGAGTTGTAGACGGTGGCTGTGGTGATGATGATGATGGTGGTGGTGGTGGTGGTGGTGGTGGTTGTAAAGTAGTTGTAGCTGCACCTGTTATTGTCGATGTTGGATGTTGTTGATGATGATGATAATAATAACCATTTACTGTCGTTGGTTGTTGTTGTTGTTGTTGATGATGATGATGATGATGAAGATGATGATAAGTACCGTTTAGATGCTGTTGTTGTTGATGATGAGTAGCTGTTGATGATTGTGCTGCTGTAGATGGTGGTAGAATCGTCGAATTACTACCATTGTTTGTAACTATAAATGAATGTGGATGTGGTGATGGTTGTTGATGATGATGATGATGATGAAATTGTTGTTGTTGTTGTTGTTGATGATGATATTCCATATCCATTGCTATCAATAATGGTTGATGATGATTATTATTTGTCGATGATATCGGTTCATTTGATCGACCAACAATAACATTTTCAATCAATGAACATTGATCACTTTCACTTTGTTGTTGTTGTTGTTGTTGATTACCATGATTGTTTATCATTAAACATTCATTATTAATCATCGTAATTGTATCATTCATTGTAATTATTCGATAATTAGATTCGATATTTCAAACCAAAAAAAAAAACTTACAAACACACACACACACACACACAACTGTGTGGAAAATGAGTTGTGTCCAAAATGAATATAAAGAATCCAATTTCAAACAACCAAAATCATTGCAGTAATTCTTGATTATTCCTTAGTTGACAGTTATATTGTTGTTGTTGTTGTTTATGGTCAGTCATTTAGTCAGTCAGTCAATTAGTTGACAATCATTTTTATTTGTCTTTTTAAAAGTCACATTAACTGGTGAATATTCATGACACACACACAAACGGAAATCAGTAAAATGAAATATATAAAAAAAAATCTTAGTTCGCGTGACCACATCAAACGGTAAAAATATTTCATAGTCACAGTAATCGACAAAAACAAAGAATAAAAACAAAAAAAAAAACGAATTATGCAAAATAGGTTTTCATCATTATTTATAAACATGCAAACAATAATAATTCTGAATAAGCAAAGAATTTTTTCTTGAATACAAAATGAAACAACATAAAAGTCAATGGAATTTTGAAAATTTTTTCTGTTTTGTTGTCAAATTCAAAACTTTCAATATATAGGTGTTAAATGTAGATGATGATGATGATGATATTGATATTGGTATTGTGGGATCAAGTGATTATTAACTTTGTGGCCAATACACTAAGATTGACTGATTAGTAATGAATGAATGAATGAATGAATGATAGTGATATTTTGAATGAAATGAAAATTATTCATTTTTACAGTGTATGTGTGTGTGTGTGTGTGTGTAGATGATGGAGTCTCTCAGTGTTTCGTTTTTTTTTCTGGATCTATCTTTCATGTATTTAATGTCTGTGTGTGTGTGTTTGTTTGTCTCTTTATTAGATTCGATGATCATATCGAATCTCTCTCTCTCTCTCTTTTTTTCCATTTTTACATTTATTTAAGTTCTCTCAATCATTTTTTTCCCCTTATTATGGCCACATCACACACAATAAAGGTAAGCGTTCTCTCTCTCTCTCTCTTTCTGGTCATTTTATTTTTTTCCCTTGTTTCAAAAAAAAAAAATTGTGGATTCAGTGTGTGTCTGTGTTTAAGTTAGCGGATTTGCTATGTATATGTTGTGTTTATAATGAAAATGAAAAAATTTTTTTTTCTGACCATACATTCATAAACACACACACACACACACACACCGTGGATTGCACCAAAAAAACAACATAATATTGAACGGTCTATCTGGAAATTTACAGTGAAACACATAGAGAGAAAAAGGTTAGAAAGATTGTCATCGATATTCTGTGTTAGTTTGTTCATTGGACAAGTTTTGTTTCTAATAATAATAATAATAGCCAATGGTCAGTCGATGTGTTTATAATCATATTGATTGATCTATCGATATGATATTTATTTTTTTTTTTGGTCCATTTTTTAAAACAAAAGTCAAATTCATTGCATTGAAAATGTGTAATATGAAGATTGTTTTATCGAAACCAGAAGAAAAAAAAAATATTCTACACACGTGTTGAACACATTTGATTTGATAAAGTGATAAGAATTGTTTTTGAGTTAGAAACAAAAAAAAACAAACAAACCAAAAAAAAAAAAAAATAAAGATCATTCATCAACAAAAGATTTAGATTCATGATTCGAGAATATTCTGGATAAACAGTAAACATAGAATAAGAGAGAGAGAGAATGATCACACATAAGATTCTTTTTTGGGTTTTCAAAACAAACACACAAACGAACACACACACTTATTAGAACACGCACATGGATTTTTTTTTCTTGCACATTTGAAACGGATATATTTACCTTGAAAAAAAAATTAATACTTTTGTCATGCAATAATAAGATTGAGGAAAAAAAAAAAGATAACAAACATGAATGTTTATGTGTGTGTGTGTGTGTGTGTGTACACAAATGAAAACTATGATTTCGACTTGTTTACTAGGTCTTTGGTTGACATTTTTTTTTCTTCTTCTTCTCCTGTAAACTGATGGTGATGATGACAACATTCAACACCGTTAACAACAACATTGTTGTTGTTGTTTGTTGTTGTTGTTGCTGATAGTGATGATGATGATGAGGATCAACATGACAGAATCTTTAAGCAAATCAAATTTTTCTCATTTTTTTCTTCATTTCTCGTTTGTTTGATTTAGAATTTCTTATTATTTAGAATTATTGCGTGCCAGTCATTTATATAATAAATGTATCTGCTGATTCTTTCTGCTGTTTTTTTTATTTGGATTCCAATTTCCGAGTTTCAATTATATGTGTCTGTGTGTGTGTGTTTGTGTACGATTTTTCTTCAATTCAAAGCTTCAAGTCAATAATTATTAAAGTAAAGAAAGAGAGAGAAAAAAAGTTTTTCCATTTAATCATTTAATGAATAATAAAAAAAAAATTGTCTTTTTTTCGTCCGTTTAAATCTTCTTGTTGTCAAATCATTTTTTTTCCCCCATTTTCTTCATCGTTGTTGTTGTTGTTGTTGTTGTTAATGTGATTTATTGAAATTAAAAAGTAACAACAACAACAGAAAAATAGAGCGAAAGATTTGATTCATTTTTTTTCTATTTTCTTATCTATTTGAATTTTTTTTTTACATTATGGGTGGAAAAAAAATTTGTCGAAATCCAAAAAAAAAACATAAATCCATAAACACAATTGCCATCTTGTGGATTTGGATCAAATTAAATCATCATTTTTTTTGGTGCAACAACATTTCCATCCAACAGATGGCGCTGGTTAGGATGAATTTAAATTTTTTTTTGGTTGTTGAATTAGCGAATTAAAATAAGAAAAAATGGATTTCTGGTTGTTGTTAAAAGAATACTCGGTTGTATTTTGCATTTTTTTTCCCAAATACCAAAAATAACTGATTTATTTTTATTTTTTTTCTGAAATAGAAAATTTCATGCAAAAATATCAACAACAACAAACACATTAAATTCGGCATTGATTGAGTAATAATTTTCATTTCAAAAAAAAAAATGAAAATGAAATGAAATGAAATAAAAACCACGTATTCATATAAATTAATAAAACAGTTGATTTATTCGGTGATCAATAATGAATAATGATAATAATAATAATAAGACAAGAAGAAAAATGTAAAAAGATAGTGAGAGAGAGAAAAAAAAAGACAAAAAATAACACGAAATTGATAGTGAGAGAAAAAAAAATATGATAATAAATAAAGCAAAGTGTAATGAGAATAATGAATAATAATATTGGGCATTTCATAAGATTGTTGTTGGGTGAAACAAAACAAAACAAAACAAAAATAACAACAACAACAACAACAAAAAATTCTGTTTCCGAATCAGAATCTATGAGAAAATGATTTGTACATTTACAAAAAAAAATATATGAAAGTGTGTCGATAATTTTTTTGTTGTTTGTTTGTCGTTTGTATATGTAAGATTGATTGAGTATATGTTTTTTTCCTGAATTTTTGTCATAATTTGTGTGTGTGTGTGTGTGTGTGTGTGTGTGTGTGTTGTGATTAGAAGGTAACGAGACCATTGATTTCAAAAAGGTGTTCTTTGTGTGTGTGTGTGGGAAACATAAAATGTGCATTAATCCTTTTTTTATGCTAATCCAATAAAACTTTGCAATTGTTGATGTATTGGCTGCTGCTGTTGTTGCTGTTTCTGTATATATGGTGCAACATTTTCACTTAAATATTTTTTACAAAAATTTATCTGCTTTTCAAACAATTCAATCTGTCCGGCTAATTGTTTATTTTCACGTTCATATTGTTCAATATATGATTCCATTAGTTTTTGTTTTTCACGTTTAGACATTCGTTGTTTTTTTGTTCCATTTGTTGATGTTGATGGATGCGATACACCATTGAAATTGGCTGTTCTTTTACGTCCATGATGCTGATGTTGTTGTTGTTGTTGCATTTGATTACTAGTTGATGGCGCCGTTAAATGATTAGTATGAGAATTAATTGAATTTGTATTGTTTGCTGTCGGTAATGAAACTGGTGACATATAATAATAATTGGTTGTCGATGTCGCTGTTGTCGATCCATTATTATTACTAGTTACAGGTGTTAGATTATAAATAATTTGATTCGATTGTAGATCTGTGGTTGTATTTTGATCAACATGATGTTGATGATGATGATGATGATTATGGCCACTAGGTACAAATGTTTCCGAAACAATTGTTTCATTAACAACTGTTGGTACAATTGATTGATATTGTTGTTGTTGTTGTTGTCGTTGTTGTGGCTGTTGTATTAATATTGTTGAACTATCGATTGGTTCTTGTTTAATATTCGTAACATTATCCAATGTTGCAAATGTTTTTGTCTGTGAATTACATGAATCTAATGAATAATTTGATGAGATCGAACCGGCTGGTGAATTTGGATTTGGATAATATGATGTTTGTTGTTGTATTGTTGGATTCATGTTAGTAGTCGCCGTAGTCGCCGTTGTTGTTGCCGATTGTGATTGATCACTTAAATAATCGACCAATGATGACATTTCATCAAATTCATCTTTAATAATTGGTTGAGCACTTTCTAGATTCTGATAGGCCATTGATTGAATATTATTATTATTGCTATTATTGCTACTATTTGATGAATCTGAATATTGTTGTTGTTGTTGTTGTTGTTGCTGTTGTAGCGGTGGTGGTGGTGGTGGTGGTTGAGGATAATTATAATCCGATTGTGGACATACTTTATTCGGTGATACTGGTGCCATTTCTGGTGAACTCATATTTTCTAGATTTATTTCTGAACTTTCTAATAATGGTGAATAGGATTTACGTTCATAATAATTTTGTTGTTGTTGTTGTTGTTGTGGTGAATCAACATAGTTATATAATAATGATGATGATGATGATGAGTTGCCATTTGACATTAAAATTGATTGATTATTATTAATCAATAATGAAGATGATGATGATGATGATGATGAATTAATAATCATTGGATTTATATTGGTCAACATTGCTGCTGCTGCTGCTGCTGTTGTTGTTGATGTTGATGATGGTGCTACTGCTACTGTACTACCATCTATTTGTTGAGCATAAACATCGGTAAATATTTGATGATCATTATTATATGTTTTTTCTGATTGAAATGTTGGATGAAATGAATCCAACATATCAACAATATCCGGTGTATTAAGGGTATTGCCCATAAAATCATTGCCAACAATATTATCATCATACATGATCGATGGATTGATTGTTGTTTGTAGATATGGTAAATGTGTATTTGTAGCCATTATAATCAAAAAAAAAAAATTCGTTGATGATGAATCAACAAGTTATTCACTTTTTTTTACAAATTTAATGTCTTCACACGAATACACGTGAAAAAAAATTTTTTTTTTCAATACCAAAAAAAACAACAACAACAACAAAAAATGTTAAAAACAATAAATCAAAATCGATTTATTGATTAAAAAAAATTTGTTAACTTTTTTTTGGTTTAAAAAATCAGAGATAAAAAAATGCAAATACGAATCACTGATCACTGTTGTTGTTGTCGTTTTTTTCTGGTTGAAATCAAATTGAATGAATTGAATATGCACGTTTGACAAAAAATGTGTAGGACTTATATATGCTCTGTATGTCTGTCTGTGTCTATGTGTTGTGTGTGTATGGCGCCAGGTTTTTTTTTTTTTTTTTTTGAATCAAGGGAAGTTGTTGTTGTTGTTGTTGGTGTTTGAAGGAGAATAAGAGTGAGAGAGAGAGAGAATAAAACAAGTGTGTGTGTGAGATACACAAACATAAGAGTAGAAGGATCACACTACTACTCATCATCATCATCATCATCATCACTATCTTTCTAATAGTATACAATAGTAGCATATATTTTTTTTTTTATTAATCGTAAAAAAAAATTGACTGGTAGTATGTGTATATAGTGTGTGTATAGTGTGTGTGTTTTTAGCTACAATAACAAAATACAACAATGAATTACAATGACATCATCGATATCCAATGAATGAATTGTAATGATATCATTATATTTTTTTTTCAGAGAAAAAAAAATGGATCCATGGATAACGCAGTCTCTAAGACAAATTTTATCCAAATTGTACATGTATATATATGTTTTATGTGTGTATGTATGTATGTACTTCCCGTTTGTTTATTATCTAAATCTAAATATATTATTTATGTAGTAGAAGCATATAACACCATAAATACCATCCCTAATAATTATTGATGTGATCATTATGTTTTTTTGTTGTTGTTGTTGTTGTTGTTGTTATGATTCGTTATATGTTGTATATGGATGATGATAATGGTAATGATAAAAATCAAACGACGACTACGACAACGACGATGATGATGATTATGATGATGACAACAAATATAATCGCGGACTGTTTTAATAACAATATATAGCCATCCAATAATCTTAATCTCAATTGAATTGATGGCGGCGAGATTGTTTTTTTTTATGTGTGTGTGTATGCGTTTGGCTGCTATGACGACAATTGATGATAATTGTCAAAAACAAATACTAATTGTATTGGATCACGTATTTTATTGAATTTTTTTTCTGGTTATTTTGTCATCATCATCATGATCATCATTTTCCAGAGAAATGCTACGGCAGTGTTCTGTATTGGTTCCAATTGTGTTGTTGGCGGATCCAACAAAAAAAAATGATAAAATAAAAAGAGAAATGAAAAAAACCATTGATGAAACAATGTAAAAAAAAATTCATTTTACCATATACTACCACTACTACTACTACTGCGATATATCTGCAATGAATTTAATGGGTATTGGAACGGTCTTTTTTTTTCTTGCTGGGAATTCCATTCCAAAGCACACACACACACAGACACATTCGATCAGAATATTCTTTTGTATCGATTCTGTAATAATGACAACAACAATCAAAAAAAAAAATTGATCAATTTCGATTCAATCGATTAATTCATCATCATATAATTATTATTATAAATCCATGATGATATTTAAACATGATGATGATTTATTGGAATTTGGAAAGATTGTTGTTGTTGTCGTTGCAGATGCCGTTGTTGTTGTTGTTGTTGATGATGATGATTGAGTTGCTAAAAATAATTATTAAAAAATAAAATCTGAAAATGAAAATACATTCATTCTGATGATTGAAAAACAACATCATCATATATATTTTTTACTGGTTGTTTTTGTTTTTGTTGTTTTAAATAGATTTTTTTCTTCCAAAATTAGATGTATTTTTTTCTCTCACATTTGCCATTTGATTCTGCATCAAGAATATTCGAGTATGCGAGAAAAAAAAGAATTAGGACGACATGTTTGTTTTTGTTGATGATGAAAATCTCTACACACGATTGGCAATGATACAATTATATTCTGATCGTGTTGTTGTATACTGTTTTTTATTCTGTACTGAACAACCGATTCTGTATTGCCTATTAATTTCCGATAGAGATCAAGAAAATTGCAAATTCTGGAATTTGCGGTTTTTTGTTTTGTTTTGTTTTGTTTTGCGTCTGGTGCAAATGTTTGTTTGTTTGTCTGTCATTGTCGCATAAAAAAAATTTCATTATCATGAAAAAAAAATCGGAAATTGTCATAAATGAAATGTAGGATGATGATGATGATGACAAATACAAGTTAAAGTTGAAAAGCAGCAGCAGCAACAAAAAAAACCGTTTATTAGTCAATTGCAACCACCGGAACAATGAATGAATGAATGATAAAATGAGAATTGAGAAATAATCAATCAATATATATGAAAAGTATTTGATGAATACTAACCAGAAAATTTGATGTATTAGTCATCAAATCGAATGGATTTCATTGTCAAAAAAATTTTTTTTTTTTTTTAGATCCGTATCATCATGAGAAAAAGAGAGAAACAGAGAGATATTTGGAATGGAGTGACAAAATTGCTGTTTTTTTGCATCACAGCAACATTCATCATTGATCAAAATGGACTATGGAATGTTTCTATATATATATATTACATGTTTATCATAGATAAGATTAGATTAAAATTAGCACTAAACAAAAAAAAATCACGAGACTTTAAGTTTCTTCCTTTTCCACTCAATAACATATCCTCTAAATTCCATTCTCAAAATAAAAAACAATTAAGGCAAAAATTTTAAATTTTTCCATCCAAACAACTCGTTGTTGTTGATGTTTAACCGGTCCATTTTAATATCCGGACATTGAAAAAATGGAAATATCGAGTTTTTTAAATTTACAAAAAAAAATCACAAGAATATGAAGACAAATCTTATAATGTAATCATTATTATCATCATCATCATCATAATTATTATCGTCATTGAGAAAGAAAAAAATCAGCATAAAAACATGTCATGCAACAGACAATCCAACAGTTGTGTGTGTGTGTGTATGTACGATAAAAATTGAATGATATCATTACAAAAAGAAAAAATTATCAACAACAACAACAACAACAATGATGATGATGATGATCCATGAATGAAAAAATAAATGTTTTCTTTACACACACACACACACACACACACACACACACACACAGTAAGTATTTTGATTTTGAAATCATTGAATTATTACGAAACACACGCAATCATAGAATATCATCATCAGTGATGTTGTTTTTTTCGTTTTAATTTTGGAATTTTTTTCTCTCTCTCTCTCTCTGGTTAACGATGTTGTTGGGTGTTGTGTTGTGTGTATATGGTGCTGTTTTTATTATTTTCATCAAAAAAAAAACATTTGCTTCCTAAAACGACAATTATATAAAATAGAATCCTAAGTTATTTTTTTTTTTTTTAGCGATAACCATCATCATCATCAATCTAGAAATGGAAAACGACACTGATTTGATATTGTTGTTGTTGTTGTTGTTGTTGTTTGAAAATAAAATTACGTCATTAGATTGAATTTATATATTCTTTTTGTTGTTGTTGTTGTTGTTGTTCATGTTCATAATAATTTTTGTCGTTTTATTTTACATTGTACTAGACGTTGATTTTTTTTCTCTCACTCTCTCTCTCTGACAATTTCTGTTTGATCGGTGCTATATATGTGTGTGTCGGTGGAAGAATATGGCTATTTTTTTTTATTAACAATGTTTTTTTCTTTCCTAATCCATTGATATCCGTATTGTAAAATAGTTTCGTTTTCGTTTTCGTTTTCGTTTGTTGTTGTTGTTGTTTTTCATGTGTATGAACACGTGATAAATTGTTCTGTTATCGTTATTGTTGAATATTTGATGATCTTGAAATTGAAACTGATTTGATGACTAGACTGTGGTTTTTCATTTGACCAAAAAGTTTAATACGTATATATATGTCTGATGTGATGAAAATTGATTAATCGTCTGTGGATCAACAATTTGGGCGCCAACAACCCATGTCTATCCATGTCTATGTTGATTGATATATATAAAATATGTCGCCATCGTTTTTAGTTTGTGGCGACAACAATAATAACAACAACAACAACGACAACAACATCGACAACAACAACGACAACAAGTTGTCAAATATCGTGCACACATCACTGATATGATCAATCAATTTTTGATAATAAACAACAACCAAAAGGCGTTAACCTTTTCCTATTTCACCTATCATCAAACACCTATATGATGATTATTTGGCTTTTGGACTACAACTACCAATACTACTACTAGTAATAGTAGTAGTTGGTTGAACCTTGGATAATGATGATGATGATGATGATCATCATCATCATCATAATAAAATCTGTTTGTAAATGCCGAAAACAAGAGAAAAAAAAATTTAAGTAATGCAAAAAAAAAGAAAAATGTTTTCTGATGTTATCAATCAATGAATTTTTTTTTCATTATATTAAAATCAATGGAATAATAAAGAATCTTAACATTGAATCTAATCCTCTTTCTTGACATCATTATCGTTGTTGTTGTTGTTGTTGATGGTGATGGTGATGGTGATGATGATGAAGATGTGCGAAAACCACCAATACTTTTAAATTTATTTTTTTTGGATATCCTTTTATGGTTATGGTGAGTTATTCACCACCACCACTACCAATCATCTCACAAAAAAAAACATACATACACACACACACACGCAAACTCCAACGATGACGACCAGCTCAACCAAACAAAAAAAAAAAAAAATAAAAAAACAGATACTACAGCCATCAATGTACATTTTTATAATTGAAAATGAAATTTTTTTTTTTTCTCCTTTGTAGAATCGCATAGATATGCGGAGGTTAGACGAGTAGGGCGTATGTTTTTTCAAACAAACAAAAAAAAAATCTTTATTGTTTATGTGTTGATCTGATGAGAATATCTAAGAATTTAGATATCTTTTACTGACAATATTTAAACAGTGATATACACACAACACACACACAAAAACTTTTTGTGATCGATAAAAATAACAATAAAAAT